TCCCTCTTTCCAGGTAATTCATGATAGCAATTGATGATTAATGCAGTGTTTTAGCGGTTCAAGGCTCTGTGCAAAGTGAGTTCGGAGAATTCTGAGAGAATTCTTTAAAAAAGAAGGTAGTTGATATCCTCGTGATTCTTGTGCTATCAGTCAGTTCTGTGCCATGCGTGATACACGCTTAGGCGATCATGTATCTTTCGATACATGACTGACGAGGCATATTTTTTTCCCGCAGTAGGCTGCCATTTCTTTCTGCAGTTGCCATCCAAGGCTATAGAACCCTGTCTTTCCTGCTATTTACGCATAGCTGGGGGGAGAAGAAAAGGATTCATACATTTCCCAAGGTACAGTCAGTTATGTGCTTAGGTGATCATGTATCTTTCGATACATGACTAGCGAGGCAGATTTTTTTTACAGTAGGTTGCCATTTCTTTCTGCGGTAGAGCAGTTGCCATCCAAGGCTATAGAACCCAGTTTGTCCTCCTACTTACCCGTGGATGGAGGAAGAAAAAGAGTATTAATACCTTTCCAAAGGGTCAGTCAGTCAGTTATTTGCTATGCGTTATACACACTTAGGCGATCAGGTATCTTTCGATACATGACTGACAAGGCAGATTTTTTTTCCAGCAGCAGGTTGCTATTTCTTTCTGTGGGGAGAAGGAGAGGATTAATACCTTTCCTAAGGGTATTAGCTCCCCGATTCCTCAATCCAAGCCGCAAATCCATTACTCTACCGTATCTCCTCCTGAAAGGGTTGATAAGCCGTAGAAAATGAATGAATCAATCAATGTAAATATTGTCAGTCAGTCAGTTATGTGCCATGCGTGATACACGCTTAGGCAATCATGTATCTTTCGATACATAACTGACGAGGCAGATTTTTTCCTTCAGTAGGTTGCCAATTCTTTCTGCGGTAGACCAGTTGTCATCCAGGAACAAAGAAAGGCGTGCTGAAATGCTCTGTAATATCAATCGTCCTATACAGCAGCGACTGTTGGTCAATTTACTTGCAGATGAACATGAGATTCAATAGAGAAGTGGTTCTACAGAAAGAACAACATGGAAGGAACATATGAGGAGCAAGGAAGTTTTAGGATAAAATGGGAACTCTTTTTTAAGCTTTTCAATCCAAGCAAGGCGGGAGTGCTACCAGCATGCAAGGGGGTTACAGAGAGTGGGAGCAAAAGTAAAGAGGCTTGATAGAGGAAAGGATGAAGAGAATGACGGGGAATAGATCAAGGCCTCTGGAGATGGCATTGCATTTGAATAGTTGGAGATTAGAGCTATAAGGGAAGTAAGTAAGAGGAAGGGAGTTCCACAGACGGGAAGTGCGAGACATGAAGCTATTGGAGTAGAAGAGACAGCTGCATTTAACCGTTTCGACAGTGAAAGGGTGGGGGTGATATGCCAACAAAAAGACAGTTGAACATTCTGAAACACATCACAAGGAAAGACGGCTTCAGGAAACTGACACTCACAAACTATATTTAAGACAATAGAAGGAAACATCGAGTACATTGTTTAAATAGATTACAGAACAATAGGAAGGAAGAGAGAGCCATGATCGCCTATCTAACATGGATGCCAGAGCAGGAAATGGAGGGTAATATAGAGACAAACATTGCGAAGAGTTACAAAAGTTAGGAAGGCGTGGATAGCTATGGTAACCTATTTAACAAGCTTGTGTAAATGGATGACTAAACAGGAAGTGGGTAGAATAGTAAGGAGACAAATATTGCTAAGAGCTACAAAGGATAGGAAGTAGTGGAGAGCCATGGTCACCTATCTAACAAACTTTTGTAAATATATGGCAAAACAGGAAATGGAAGGGGTAGTAAAGAGAGAAAATTTTCCAAGAGCTACAAAGGGTAGTAAGGCGTGGAGAGCTATGGTAACCTATATAACACGAGGAGCTGTCGTCAGTCCTGGGCTGAGGTTACTAACTGTCTTGTTTTATCGATGCCTTCAATGTTATCACTATCAAATACAAACTTTGTTAGCTACGTCTTGATATTTTACATTTCGCCATATTAAATATATTTAAATAATAAAAAAGCAATAGAAAGAAAGAGCCACATAAACACGTAAAAAAGCACACGATATTTGAAAATCTAGAAACCAGTGACATAGCACAAAAACATGGGTTTTAGACAATGGCTAACGATATTCGGAAGTACACGGATATTGGACATATTCTATTTAAATTAATCAGTTGTCACACGTGATAGACATTTGGGCGATCATGTCTCTTTCGATTCATGACGGACTAAGCAGGAGATTTACCCATACGAGTTTGCCATTTCTTTTTCGGTAGACTGGTTGCTAACAAAGGCTAGAAAACCTAGTCTGTCCTGCTATTCAAACCATAGCCGGTGAGAGAAGAGGCTGATCCGGAATGTAGAAAAAATGGATAAAAATCCTCAACAAGTAAATTTCGTTGGACTTTAACCAAATTTGTATAAAAGATATATATATATATATATATATATATATATATATATATATATAGGGTGTATCAAAAATAATTTTACTTTAGAGGAGCAGAATTACTCAAATCAAAACAAGAACAAAAGTCAGCATAAACATATGCCGACGAATCCTTCATTTTTGAGTTAGGTTTAAAGAATTCTTAATGGCGCCGTGTTGACATGTGGACTAAGTTACATTTGTCATTTGTGTACATTTGTGGCTAGTCTGTCTTCAACGTTTAACTTGTGTAGTAGGGAGTTAAGTGAGAAGTGTTTCTGTGTAACAGTGGTAGGATATGCATATCGTGAGCTGGTACATATGATTTTTGCATACGGTCGCACGAATGGTAATGGACGTGAGGCTGCACAGATGTATCAGATTGCGTTTCAAGGCTGTCTGGTCATGCAACCATTGCTGCTGTTTATCGTAGCGCTGCTGAGACAGGATCCGTGGCATCACAAACTTTGTTAATAAGTCTATATATATTACGAAATGTATTTAAGCATCAATAAATCGTTCATATGTATATATATATATATATATATATATATATATATATATATATATATCAAAATAAAAAGAAGAACAGTCAGATTTATAATCCACATTTCTTTAACATTTATTTTTAAAACCAGTGCTCGATGCACAAAAATAAACTACAATAAAAAAAATAATAATAAAATTTTATATAAGTACTTAAACCAGAATCAAAAAGTAGTGATCCAGAATTAAGAATAAATAATAGTAAAGAAAAATTATGTAACTGTAGGAATCCTATAAATTGTTCATTGAATAATAAATGTCTCACACAATCTATAGTTTACCAATGTACTATCTCATCTATTGAGAATCCTAATATAAAATCGATATATTGGTAGCACTAAAATAATTTTAAATTAAGGTGGAACTAACATCTGTTTTCCTTCAAAAATAATGTGTATCGTAACCAAACATCCCTCTCCAAATATTTTGGCATTTAAAAGAAACAAATAAAAAAAAACACAGTAAAATGGAAATTATTTAAAAAAACACAAGAACTTGTTGGTCTTTAAATGAACTATGTCCTTTGTTCCTACATGAAAAGTTATATATTCATTAAATCAAAGGAAAGAAATAACGTTTTTTTCGTAGACACTGCGTTTACTTTAAAGTTAAAGCAATTTTTTATAAATTTATAATTATAAAAATTCTATTATTTGATTACAAATAAGAAAGCAAACAATCCGCAATTAAATTCCTAAAGTTTAAAATCTTAATTTTAACAACACCGTATCTAGTATACTAATAAATATAATAAACATAGTACTTTAGATCTTTATAAATAAAAATATAAATATATAAAATATGACTTAATCATATTTGAAGCCCCTTTAAGAAAATCCTAATGTATTTTATAAAAAAAAAAGCCAATGTATTGTAGCGTACCTTATGTATACCCTTAATAAATAAAACAGACAGGATGACACGTCCTCATATAAGGTAGCCAGTATCGACAGGCAAAAATTACAAACCCACACCTAACCCTTAAGCTATATTTACACTTTACCATCTTAAATTAGACTTGTATCCTGATTCGTTAAAGAGGCAACACCCTTTTAAAAATTTGTAATCCCCTGCCCCTCTCAACTTAAACTATATATTAGGTTGGTGCAAAAATAATGACGTAATAATGTCGTTTTTGACGTTACGTCAAAAACGACATTATTACGTCATTATTTTTGCACCAACCTAATAATACTATTTAACTTAAAAAAGTAAATATTTTTCCGAAAGTTATCCAACATCCCTAGAGAATGGAACAAAACCATAATTTTAAGATTATTTTAAAATTTCGTTTTTAGTTCCGAAACATGGCAATTTCTGTGTCGCGATGAATACATATTTTAAATAATATTATAATATATATATATATATATTTATATATATATATATATATATATGTGTGTGTGTGTGTGTGTGTGTGTGTAATTACTAATTATATTGTTTTTGTTATGGGATCAATTTGTATTTGATATATTTTAAATAATAAGAGATTATGAATTTAACCATTTTCATTTAATTTTTTTTAATTTTTATGGTCATGTATTTTGCTTGGGAAAGAAGTATTTCTTCAGAAGTAGTTACATACAAAATAAACTGTCTTAACTTTTTCTTGTAATGCATTGGGAAAACTTGCAGAAATTTGAAAAAAATATCTCTGAACACAAAAGGATATTATACACAACACTTTATCAAATGCATTAGTCAGACATAGAAATAAGTTCAACAACATCTTGGATCTAAAGAACGCAAAAGAGAAAATAATTTACTTAGAAAATTTTTGAGAACGCTGCTGTTGAATTTTACAAACGTATAAATATGCGCCCTAGGATTTTTCCAATATCTCCTTTCTTGAAAGAATTACTCCTTTTCCAAGCCAATAAGCATGACTATAATTTTGTATTAAAAGAAAACCGTTGAATTGATTTTATTATTTATAATATATCATAATTTTATTGCAAACTAAAATAATATAAATAATAATTACATAA